AGTAACAAAATGCATGTGAAGCACGAAGCATAGTCAAGTTGGAATAGTTCTGAAGTTAATAAAAGATTATGGACATGTATATAAATAAGGTCATAAAAATCCTACTAAAGGCTTGAGTAAGAGGTTATTTGTATTTTCAGCTCATGGAACTAATAAAAGGTTATAGCCATTGTTAATATAACAATAGAGCCACACCAACAACCTTGGTCTCATTGGGTCTAAATATAGTAATATGACGAGATGTTTGTGACATCACAAAGACAAAAGCAATTAACCAAATTAAATGACATAAATGAGTCTATAAAGAGACACAATTGCTAAATGGATTAGATCTAGATTGCAATGTTGTAGCTATTGGCTTTATGCTAGTAGGAGAATATTGGGATAAGCGTCGCAACCAATTAAAATAGGTCAAGGCTTGGTTCCAATCATGCAACGTTACCATTCATATTGAATGATTAAAGGTTTTTCTTCATAAATAAGACATTAATTATAATGAATTATAAGTCTAATTAGATGAAGTCTATGAGATTAATATGCCTTGCAAGGGAATTGTAATAGGTTGCAGTGATGAGATCCTTATGCAACAAAGCATAATCTCAAAATATTCATGGTCAATATATCATTGAGACTAGACATCAATGATGCTTAGATGCTGGTGTATTCTATGTTCCTTACTTTGAAAGTAAGTAATCGATCTCATAGATTAAAGTATAGAGATACTTGGAATTAGAATGTAGGTGTTTGCTAGGAAAGCAAGTTCATTGAACATGACCCACCATGAGAAGTGCATTTGGTAATACACTCCATTGTCTATGTAACACTTCTCATGTATCAATCATGTAAATACTCTTTAGAATTGAGACACCAAGTTGTCTTATATGTAAAGAACTATGCTTTAATTTCATCCCTATAAATGCCTAACCAATAATGCCTAAACATGATGTTTTTGGGTATAGTATGAAGCATGTGAAGGTAAATGAATGGTAAAGATAGGATTATCACCTCGAGTGTTTGAGATGATATATCTTATCAGTTCTTAGTTCACCTTAACTTATTGAAGTCTTTAACTAAGACGACTTAGAGATTATGAAAAAGGTTTCATAAATCTCTATAAAGCTAATGCTATAACTGTAGGAACAAATGTGGAGGTCAATAAGAGTAGATACAGTACGAAGCTCTTATCATCTTCAGGATATATGACGAGGGAATGAATTACATTAGAAGGTTGTCAAAGAACTCTTTGACTCTCCTAACAATTTGGTGGCTATAATGCATTACTAGATATTAATCTTGGTTTATGGAATTGATTATAAATTAATTGATTGAAATTTATATTAATGAATTAAGTCATTAATCGATTCCATTACCAACATATTATGAACTTAATGGGTCACACATAATGATTGCATTTGAATTAAATTGGAAGAGTGATAATTTAAGTTAAACTTAAATCACATGCTAAGTAATTAACTTTTGTAAACTTAATTAAAAAAAGTTTGATTAAGTTTTGGGCATAATATATAAATAGTTATAATTATAATGCCAAAATTGCAAAAATATAAAAAAATATATTTCAATTTAATTTTCATTGAGCTTAAATAAAATAGTTTAATTAAGTCATGGGCCTATACTGTAATGTGTTATAATTTGGAGAGCGTTATTGCAAAATTAAAGTTAATTTTAACTTAGCTATATAAATCATATTTAACTAGCTTTTCACATATTAAGAAAAAAAGTTGTCAAAAAAGAAAAAAAAGTTTTTGTTTTCTTCTGTGTCGTCACCTATTTTGTGGAGAAGAAAAATTTTTTTTTGAAACAATTCTTTAAGTGTGTGATTCAGTCATCTTTGTGAGAAGTGGAAAGGGACAAATATTGTCCCTTTTTGCTAGTACAAAAGCATAGCTAAAATCTCCCTCATTTGTTGAAAGGTTCAAGTGAAATTATGTGTATTACCGTTATAGGCTAAGAGCTTAATTAGATAAGGTTCTTGCTTGTTGTGATGTTCACAAATTGCATTGAGGAGATTTCTATTCCGATCATAAGAACATTGGCAAGGTTAGCTTTTGATTTTATGATTTTAAATGACATTCTATGTATTACAATATTACCATGGTGATCCGTGGGTGGAGATTTATTTTGTTTTAAACGTTTTAATTTTCTAGAAAGAAAATGACGAGTTTGACGAGCATCGCTAGTATCAATTTTTATTGTTTTGTTTTAAGCATGACATTTATAACCAAACTCAACAGATGTGACATAACAGCATGATCATATCACATTTGTTACTCTCTACATGAGCACCATATAAGATCACGTCGACATAAAATAACAATAAATATATTAATTAATAATAATTAATCAACTATTAGTTATAAAAGTATATTTAATTTAAAATAAAAATTTAAAGGTTTAATTAAATATAATAAAAAATAAAAAATTATTTAAAATTTTTAAATAATTCAAAAGACTTTTTTGACTATAATGTCAAAAAATATTTATTTACCATTATTGGCCCTTTTTCATTCAACCTAACCAAAATCCTTCAATCCTGTTTTAACTCGACGTATACCCTTTTCTTTTATTCGTTTTTTTTTTTATTCTACTGCTTCTTTCCCTTTTGTTGTTTTACAAGCTCCGATTTTCCATCTATTCGTAATCGAAGATGAGCCATCTTCTGCAGGAATCCCAAGAGAGCCCACTGCGGGGAACAATGTGGCTAGAATCCAAGGCGCGTGATATAGACATTTCCTCGTGGAACTGACGCTCACCTTGTAGCGATTGGGAAAACGACTTCCTTTGCAAACCGGGCCGAATCCACCATGTCCTAATCGATGGGAAAGGGCAAACGATGAGGTGGTTTGACGAGAGAGGGCGTATAAGAAATGACGGTAGTGACAGCTACGCGGTTGCAAACTCATTTAGGTCACATGTGTCAAATCTGGTGAGCAATGAACCTAAACAAATTGCCAAACCGATTATACGTCATCCTATCTTTTAAATAAAACATCTGAAATGTTTAAAGAATATTTTTTTTTGCACATTAAAAATTTAATTTGTATACAATTTCAAATTTTATAGATAACATATTATTTAAATTTTGCTTTCATTTACATTTTAGCAATTAAGTTTTTCATTATTTATTTATTTTTTAAAATAAATAAATAATAAAATAAGTGACCAAATTAACAATAAATGAACTTTAAAAAGTTAAATATATTTTATAACTACTTAATGTCTGTGATAACAAATTTTCATACATGAGATAATGCTGAAAATTATCATTATATTTTTAATAAAGCACTTTTAAACCAAATATAACAATATTGTCATTATAATCAGTACTTTCTCATTTATACTAAATAATATTATATTCTCTATAATTATATTCTGTTGTAGCATACCAAACTTTATCCTAAATTTAAGACATTATAACACTAATGCACAAAAAACTTCTGCCCCACCAATAACGTTTTGCCACGTAACATAATTAAAGAAAAATAGACGTTTAACGTTTAACAGCAAAATTGCCCTTTCTTCTTGGCATCCTCGAGAACAAAGTTTAGCCTTGACAACAATGAAAACAGGACCGCACCACTGGGATATTTGTTTTTAAGGCCCCTATTTCAATGAAACACATCCGGCTAAAATAACAGAGAAGAAAACCCTATCCCTGTCATTGAACAACAGATGACAGAACGCAAAACTTGCATCCCCTACCCTTTCCATCAACCCAGATTATAATAACCCAAAAAAACCTGCACATTACTAGACAAAACATAACTTGCACAAGTCTCTTTACGCACAACAATGATCAAGAAAACAACCAACCAACCTTCAAACTCAACCGGAAGCTGAGCTTCTCCCATCAAACCAAAAAAGCCAGCATCAGTCATCACAGCGAAACAGAAAGATGAAACCATCCCAAAAAGAACCTGAGCACCAGATCACTGCTGCAAACAAAAGCGAAGCAGCAATGTCCACTTCCGCAGTAAAACCCATTAAAAAAGAAGACAAGTCAAAATAGCAGACATCAACATGGCAATCGCAGGAGAATCAAAGAGGCAGAAAACAAGCAAGCAAACGAAAAATCAAAAGACCCAATCTGAAACTTCAGAAGTGCGCTAACTTCCCACTGAGATTTGAAGCAACTAAACTCTAAAGACATATTCAAACCAAGAGAAGACGGAAAAATCTGGTATTGAGTTGGGAGAAATTTTCTATCAGAAGTTTAACGTCAGCCTCAATTATGCAACGTGGTAAAATCTAGTATGCGGGGCAGAGAGGGAGGCACAAACTCGGGGCCAAAGATGTCCATTCATATTTTTATTAATAAATCGATCTCAGCCGGCAATTACAGTACAATACTTAATGTGCTATTGCAGCTTGAACTGAGCTCTAACGGTGAGGATTGGATGAGAAATGAGTAGTGACCTAGGTTTGAATCAAAGTATATTTTTCTTGTAAAAGAAACATGGAATTAAAAAGCGCTAAACCTTAAATCTTGGAATCAAGCCTTTAACCGCACAGAATGCATACCAATGCCCTTTGATACGAACAGCTTTTAACAAAGGAAAAGTATTCTAAAGGGAGGAAGTGCAATGTTGCACTCCGTTTCTATAAAAAGTACTATAATGTTGTTTGCATCGCAAGGAAAGTAGAACGTGAAGAGATAGGCATCTCTTGGCAGCTTTAAACCGAGCATGCGCGCTGCTAAATACAAGGAGAAAGCTCCAAAATGAGGTAACCAATGGTCTGTCCATCACCTAATCTCCAACACCACAAATTCATGCCTCAAAAGTGCCAAGCTTGAATGGCTTTGGCATGGGTCTTTCTCATTCCCTGGTGCACTTTTAGTTTGTTGTTGTCATATTGCATTTCAGTCATAGTCAAGGAACCTGCTGCTAAGTGACAATCTCCAACATTCCATATGCCGCCATGTTTCTTAAAGTCAAGTATATCGCTTTGGAGACACACTAATTAAAGGAGCTGTATTCCAATTTCAAAGACAACCCATACTGCTCTGTTACAACAATGAAAAGAGCATGCTCTTTTCCTTTATTACTTTGAACATGTGACCCCGAGCGACTATTAAAGCCACCGTAAAAGAGTATTATTCTTCATATTATTACCTAGATACAATAAGATTACATCTATTTAGTTTCATGGTTTGATCGAACTTAGCTCAACATCAGGGTCAGATTTATCTTCCATTTGTACAGTGCCCTTGTAACGATAGTGATATGCAACATAGAGAAAATAAAGGAAATTGAAGGCCCCCATCCCTGCTAGAAGATAGTAAAAGTAATCCAGTTTGCCAGCATTGATATCACTAGCCAACCAGTCAGGGTGTCCATGCCCTCCAGTGACATGATGCACAATATTGACTACAATGCTGCTCAAGTAGCTTGCGCCGGCCAGGGAGCAAAAGAGAAGAGAATTAGCAATGCTTCTCATATGCTCTGGAAACTGCTTGTTGAAAAATTCAATCTGTCCAATAATGTTGAATGCCTCGCAGAAGCCCATGAGGATAAGCTGAGGAGCTAGCCAAAAGACTGATATTGGTGCAACACCAGGGTGCAGTATAGCTGAGTCCCTTCTCTTCTTTTCCATCACTCCGGCAACAATCATCGCCAGAATTGAGAAAAAGATGCCGATGCCAATTCTTTGAAGAAGCGTTATCCCACCTTCACGTTTGGTGAATTTTCGAAGACCTGGAACAATTATTCTGTCATAGACAGGGAGGAAAATTCCAATTGTGATCATCGATATGATCCCAATGGAACCAGCTGGGATTTGGATCTTGGAGCCAAGATGCCTGTCCATTTTCAAAGCCTGTGACACAGTGAACGTTCCCTGTTGTGCCATGGAGGTAAAGCTAATGATACCAGAAGCCCATATAGGAATGACTCTGATCAGGCATTTGACCTCTTCTACTTCTTGAATGCTGCACAGCCTCCATTTATTAGGGGAACCATCGGGTTGTAATTCATTCTCCATTATTATGGCGGCTTTGTTTAAGAACCTAAGAGAATAAAAACAACAATTAAAATTTAGCATTACATGCAAGCAGAAGTTCATATAATGAACCTTTACCATGAAACACTTGCACAATGTTGCCTACAAAGAAAAAGTGTTTCAGTCTTACACTGCCATAAGTTCATTAGTTGGTCAAGTCGTTTGGACTGATTGTTACACGAAATCATGTAATCTTAAATGATTGAATCAAAGTAATATAATATCAATCAACATCCTTATGGAGCGAGCTCATCTTCACGCTTATACGGTCTCTAATTCAAATAGTGTTAGATGTGATTATGATTTGACTTTTGATTAACACTATGAAAAGTAAATTCATTCAGTAACTTGAAAGGCCCTATCCCACCTGAAATGAATAACCAAGAAATGGTAACCTTACATCTATTTATGCAAATTCCAGTGCTCTCGTCTATTAACTAAATAATATATTCTCAAAGTATCTTTGGTGATAAGATATGTCACCTGAATCTGAGCCAAAAAAAAATATATATATTTGTCACCTGTACTGGCTGGTGACGGGTAGCTTTGACAATACATTTTCCTTTACAGGAGGATCATAGAAAACTCCAATTTCCTCTCCCTCTGCTGGTAGCTTAAGCTGTCGTTTCTTGTAAGCGGCAAAAGGCACTTGCACAATGCTTGAAAATATGCTTCCTTGTGGCTTAACGTGCACATAAATTCTAGTTCCGATGAGGAACAGAACTATGGAACTGCCCATGAGCAGGGTAGGAATTCCAAAGCCTAGAACCCAGCTTACTGAGTCTTGAATATAAACCACAAGAGTTAAAGTAAGCAATATGACCACTGTAAATGTGGTGTAATACCAATTGAAGAAGCTGCTGATCCCTTTTAACCCTTCTTCAGTGGTTGGATCAAATTGATCAATTCCAAATGGAATGCTGCAAGGTCTTATTCCGCCTGTGCCTACTGATAACAGACCTAGCCCTGTTAGCAGAACTCCCAGTTGAGCCTTGTTTGGACCAACGCAGTGACCATTTGGTTGATCTTCAGGTTTGCATTCTGCAGGATGGAGATGTGGGATCCAAGCCGTCAAAGTCACAATCAACATTCCCTGTCAGAGTAAATTAGACATGTCTAATTCAGCTTTATAATCTTTTCCATTTGGTATTTCTTATCTAAAATTCAGCTTAATAGCAGCATCTAGAACGGGAGTTAATGATGCATATAAAACTTATAGTAGAAGAAGCGTCACAAACAAACATGCAAATTAAAATATCTATATATGAGATTTTAACTCGTGATGCTTCTATCAACCGTACCAATAACTATATTGTGCTTAGAAATTAAGTGAGTGTTGACCTAGCTTTTGAAAAGAATGGAGGATCTGCCTCAATTTTATAAAAATATATGTAAAATGTTTTTATTATGTAAGATGCGTTTATTAGATATGTAGGATTTTTTTAACTGTATTCACGTAAGATGTTTTTATTATTTATATATATTATTTTTAATATTAAAAATATATTTTAGATATCTTGCATAATTCATGAATGTTAGTAATATTAAAAAAATATGTTAGATATCTAAAATATTTTATAGTGTCATGGTTAAAAGTTTTTGAAGATGGATCATGGTGAAAATTATTTTCTACCGGATGAACTAAATAATAGAAAATATTTTTCTTGGTTTATCCAAATAAGGAAAAACTAATAGATTTTTCAAATAAAATATTTTTCATAAAAAAAACTTTTCTTTCAATAAGTAAAATATTTTTCATAGAAAAAAAATTTTCTTTTATATTCTCACTTTGTCCTTCAATAATTTATAAACTATAGAAAACATTATACTTTTTCTCATTTAGCTTTTTGTTTAGCCTAATTTTCTCTCTTCATTTTATCTATTTTTTATTTTCAATTAGCAAACATTTATTTTATTTGATTTATTTCTTTTACTTTAGAACTTATTATTGGGTTTAACAAAGTTGAATCTCTTTTTGTATTTATTAAAAATAAATAAAAATATTATCATATAGTTTTGCATTAAATGAATAATCTCAACTACTTTTTCTGATTTCTTTAATTACTAAGCTTTTCTCACTTAACTTAACTATTCATAGCAATATTTTCAATAGAATGGCTATCACACATAGTAAATGGCAATTTGTAAGAGCAGAAAATGACGAGAGAAAAGGGGCCAGGTGGGACTATAATTGCAAACTTCTTTTGCAGCATGCCTGACACTTGTCCTGTAAGACCCACAAGACATATTATTCTACTAATGAATAATTTTTTGACCAACAATACACGATAATAAAATTTCCATTAAAAATAGCCATAAGTATACATATGTTTAATGCATGAGTATTGATAAATGGCAACCTAACTTGCTGTTGAGATATTTTGATGACTTTTCCGGGCCCAGCATCGTGCATATCAAAAATCTTACCTAGAGTAGATTATAATTAGAAGTATTATGATATTGCTTGTACTTAGTTTACCTAACACAATGATGACATGTTGTGGTCTACATATTTTTACGGTTTTTGCCGGTCGATTCAACCAAAAGTAAATGGAAAAAGAGCGAACTTTCGTAATTACTACTATATTAGATTAGAATGAATCTTTTGATAGATAGTCCTAAGTTTATAGTTCAATTTATTTTCTATTTTCTATCATGTCATATTTTCATTGATAAATATTAATGTCGCAATTAATTTCATTGGCTAAACCTAAGTATTAGATTCAATTATGGGCTATTATTACCACAGCAAAACACAAGCATGACAGAAGATTTACCCCCACTTTTAATTTCAGCGTAGGCATATGTTTCTTGGCTTTAGCAAGAGATCTTGCAAGCCAAGAGCAAATCCCCACAAAGAAAAGACAAAGGAAAAAAAAAAAGAGAGAGAGAAAGAGAGAGGGGCCGCAAATGGATTTCTTATCCGTCAGCGATGGTATGTGAGCGAGAAGCAGAATTAAATTTGTTTCCAAAGATTAGGAGATAGTCAATAGAACTTAATACGATTTAATTTTGTCCTTAACTAATTGACTATATAGTAAAACTTTTTGCTTGCTGATAAAAGCAAGAAACGTTTTATGAAAGCGTAAATCCAAGAATCTTCATCAGCTTTTGCATCGTCTAATTAACTCTTGGAAGCGGGAAATCATTCCCGCGCCATGTGCATCACGCATCAAGAAAATTTAGGATGAAATCGACCTCAGTTCACCTACTCGATTTTATTTAATGAAAATTCAAGCAGCCTTGGCCCTTAATAACTAATATTTATGAAAATTCTTATTACAGTGTATGATTATAATGAAGCAGTAAGGAGTAAGAAAACATACCAGAAATGAAGCAAAGGATGCAACCGCAATGGTTCGAAACCTCCCGGCATAGGCATCGGAGATAATAGCACCAAGCAGAGGTGCAAAATTGGTTATACCAAACCAGATGTTGTAAACATTTGAAGCTGACACCTGATCCATGTGTAACTCTCTCATCAAATACACCATAAAATTTGCCAACAACCCAAACGTTGCTAACCTCTCGAACGTTTCATTTCCTGCCACAGCACACTTTTCTATGTTAACTTAACGACTACTGCACGAGGAAATTAATACCATTAATACGTTAGAAAGGAGAGGAACCTAAGATGTAAGGCATAGCTTTCCACCCTCCAGGCTTGTTCTGCTTTGTACAGGAGACCGACGAAGCATTTCCATTCGTTCCTTCTCCCGGTTTCTTTTCCGGAGACGCTGGTTTCTGGAAGTTTTTTGTGCAACAATATAGAAAAAACGACCTGGACTCTTCTTTGATGCTTTTCACCATGTTTATTTTTGGAAAAGCTTTTATTATGCGCCTTCAGTTTCTTCTTCAAAGCATGTGAATCTTGGTGGGTTTGAGCTTGTTTATCCTTTTTTTTTTTTTTTTGAGAGAAAGCTTGTTTATCTCTACAAGTGCCAAACCTATATGTATATATATACACAGTAGTTAACTGCATTTGTAGTAAAAGGAGATGGGGATGATTGAATGGCTGACGAAATCAAGGGGTGATAAAGGTCGGCCACATGCACAAACGAAATATGGCTAACAATAGTGGCTTGTTTTCTATGGGCCTACATGTAGAAGTACTTGGCATATATGCATGGTAATGTTTTTTCTTTTGGCTTATACTGGCTTTCCTACTGCTTTGTAAGTAGTTAAAGTAATTACTAGTATACAGTACATTGTAAAACTAAGAAGCAACTGTTACTCTTTTTCATGACAAAATATAAATTTGAATTGGTCCAAATCTGAATCAAACTAGTTGGGACTTAATTTATGTTACCTCAATTATCACTTCTCTGGCATCATCTTATGTACATACATCATTTTAGGTTCTAGCATTTTTCTGAGTTAGGGATAGGAAAAATAAACCACTCCCTTACGTTGACTCACTTCAATTTGTTAACTATGCCATATATGGAGTGATTCTACTAGATAAAATTCAGGTCAAGCATCAACTTCGAATTTCTGTTTATATAAAAAGAAAAAGCCATCGCTAGTTTTGGTGGTAGGTAGCTATTCTTTGAAAAAAGAAATATATATATTTATTGTATATATTAATTTGTACTTTTTAAATTAATTTTTCCGAAGTTTGGATGGGGCATGTGGCAGGTGCATGTTTCTTTCTTTGGTGTCATGGAACAAAAACAATGGTGACTGTCTAATAGCATTTATTGCTCTGAAATGATGTTATCTTAATTAATATCTTTTTTTTGAAGATTTATCTTAAGTAATACTTGGCCTCCTCTAATAGAGGTAATTAAGGTAATTTGGGTAGAAATTTTGTAACCAAAACCCTGAAGTGCTGCGTTTCTGTGTATAAAGAATACGTTACAAGGATTACAGTACAAATGTTATAAATTAATATTTAATTAATTAATAATTTTAATTAAATAATATTTTTTATCAATCTCGGTTTGAAATTAATGTAATAAAGTAATAATTCATTAAATTTATAAAATAATACGTTTAAAAAAAATACATAAATTTCACTTGATATATAAATTAATAATTTTTTTACACATTAAAATTATATATATGACTCAATTAGAAAGTTTTTATAAAACATGATTTCAATATTACTTGTTTTACTTTGAAATTGATATCTCTTTAAGCCACATCTTTAATTTTTTTTTAATGCATTAAGAAATTCTAATTTAGTGTTCTCGTATTGTAAAAACAAAATATGCAATGTAATTATTTTTTTTAGTGTACCTTTTGTGTGAGATAGGCTTCAATACAAATGGTGATATGAATCAACTAATTTATACATCAATTAAGTGTCTGAAAAGATTAATTGATGTATAAATTAATAAATTATTAATTTATTAATTAAATAATATATTGATAAATTAATAAATTTTCATGATCATAAGAGTGTTAGTTTATAAAAATTTAATTTTATATTAAAACATGATAAATGATAATTTAAAAAAAAAACATAAAAGATTGGAGAGGGATATGGCACATGATATTGTTGTAGCTTAGGGGACTGAGCAACCTATATTGACCCGTGGGGTTTTAATGCATGAGGGCTCCCCCATTTTTCAATTTCAAAATTTAAGCTCCATAATAATCTATCAGTTAGTTTGTTAGTTACATCTCAAATATGTATGGACTCAATATAATTGACTTAAGTCCTTTCATTCGTGGACGGCTGTTCCGTCTATAATTAAGTTGGATTTTATCTCTTGTTAAAAAAGTCACAAACAGTAATATATATACAAGGAATTCCGTCTTTAATTAACAGCAAAATTTTTTCAACTAAATTTAACAATGTTGCAAAATATATATGTTTCATAATATAAAAGGTGTTATGCTGCAATAGACATTTACAAATTACATATTTACAAAATTGTGCCAAGTATATTTTGCAACACTACTATTAGTAGTATTTTGCAAAAATTCATTAAAAGTTTTATGCTACGATAGTTGTTGCAAACAACTATTTGAAATTGTTACATAGAAATTTGTCCATAGAAATTATCCATAGAAATTGGTACAAACTACTTTCCGTTGGAGAAATTAGTCCTATTAGGTTGAAAGTTAAAAAGTGAGAGGATATTTATCTAAGTAGTGAAGAATAAATTGCTTTTAGAAACTATTTGAAAGAAGACTCATAAAAAATTGTCTATTAGATCAAAACTTAAGGATGATAATTTTGGTCTCAAAAAGCGTGTTAGAGAGGAGGTGAATGACACTTTTAGAATGATATGAAAATTCTTTCCAAGTAAAGGGCTGATTAAGGGAATTGAAAATGGAAGTTTAAAACTTGCAAGAGGAATGATTTAAGTGCTAGGAGTACGAAGAAAATAAAAGAAAGTAGATAAAATATAATGATTTATAGTAGTTCGGTTCCTTTGATCTACATCCACTATATTGATCTCTCAATTAAGGATTTTCAAACCAATTCACTAAAATTGTGGAATTTCCAAGCTTCCATCTAGCTTTTACAATGGCTTTTCATAGGTTTAGCCACAACCTTTAACAATAGTTTTTTTCAAGATTAATTAAAACCAAAAACTAATTTTTCTAAGGCTAAGTTCAAACTTACAACAACAACCAAGCTAATCGAAGCTTGATCAACCCTTTAGAGTGCCTCGCACACTCTAAGTAATCAATAAATGAAGAAAAGATGAAGTATAATTGATCACTTAGTTGATCTAAGATGTACAAAGTTAAGCTTAAACACTTTTTCCAAGGATGGAAGTGAAATACAAGTGTAAAGAGCAAGTTTTTGGTCTTTTAAGCTCAAAATCACTTTATATGGCTTCTCTAGTTTATTTTTTACTGTTGGAGAGGCTTTAAATACTTAAAAAATCACTTTTAGCCATTGAAGACAGAAACTAGCCATTTCTGGCTATTATTTTATCTTTTTCTACTTAAATTTTAAATTTTTTATAGTGAGCTTTTAGCTAGTTAACCATACTTCTTAATTGATTAAGTCTTCTCTGTCTCGCAGTCTGCTTTACTCTATTAATCAATTAACGAAAACTTTAACTGATTAATAACTTTTTGTTTTCAAGCACTGTTTTTTGCTAGCCTTTTTTCAACAGATTAATATTTCCTTTAATTGATTGAGGCTTCTCTCCATTCATCCTTAATTGATTAAAATGGACTTCAACCAATTAAAAATTCTTCAACTTTAAATATTTTGGTTTAGTGCTTTGAACGGTCATCAATATTTTGAATTTGAATTTTAGTGCTTCTTGATACTTTATCTATGGCCTTGAACCAGTTAACTCCTTTCCTTTAACCGATTAAAAGGCTTTTGTTTTGCATTCTGCACCCGCTTAACTAATTAAACGTTGTGTTAACCAGTTAAGACCTTTTTGCCTATCTTTAGTGTAGCGCCCATAATTACTTTAATTAAGTAAGGATTTATGTTAATCAGTTAAGACTCATTTGTCTTCATTAAAACTCTTTCTTCTTTGCTTGTTTTACAAACTAACCCATCATACAACTGAATAAGCATCTTGACTTAATAAATTTGTAAATGTTTTGAGAATCATTGTGTTAATCATATCATTATTGTTAACAATTTATTTTTTAGAAATCCATTTTCATTCTTCAAACTCAAATCCTTTGATAAACCATTTTAGAAATTCATTTCTACATACATAAATAATCATTTCCATAGAAATCATGCTAGCTTTACATATCAAAATAATTTTAAAGTGATGTATCCATTCACCTATTTGGAGAGTCAATTTTTTAACTCCAATCATAACTCCATTTTGGAAAAAACTATGAAGTTTTCAAGCATTCTTATCATACAAAAATATTGCAATCATTACCTAGAATAATAATCTCATAGTAATCACTCTAGGGACTTTTGTAACTATTAGAATTCAACTAAATCTAAATTTCTAGCTTAAACCCACTGCTACTCAACCAAATAAATGCTTAAAAACCCATAATTCCTTCATTCTTACCTTAGGTGAGATTAGATGCTTAAGAAAAACACAAAGTCTTGAACTTTAGCAATTCAGAGGAATATCTGGGCATTCAAAGCACTATTTCCATTTTGAAAATCCAAGACCATAAGATTTGAAAGTTAAAAATGTCATCTTTTTCTGTAAAAAACCCCAAATAAGCTTTAAAATCAGAAGAATAAAGTTTGACTTAAAAATGGGTTGGGCGACCTTAGGAATCGATGGTTTACCTTGCACATGCGATTGAGGGCTATTAAGCCTACAAAAATGTGAGGCATTTATAGTTTAGAGTGCCAAACTACCATTTTACCTTTTTTATTTTTTTGAAAACAACGAAAGTATCAATACTTGACCATATGTATCGATACATTATGAACATACATTTGAAACAAAATGCAGTTCTAAGATAGATTACCTATAAAACCTACCCAACTTATTTAAGTAAATGTCCCTATTTTTACTTCTTTTCTTTTTACTCTCTATGTGCTTAAGATATTTAAGGTCAATAAGCAAACAAGCCCGCATTTGAATTCAATAAAAATATCAAAAAGTCAAAATCTAAAAGAATTAAAATCTAAATCTTGGTTTCAAGAAGAAAATAAAAAAAATTGGAATTAAATTTATGGCTCGCATTTACCATAGCAAATGTATTCTAACAATTATGAAAAAAATCAAAGGAATCATTACTACCATATTTTATTTCCAAAAGATTATTTTATAAAAATTGTATATTTTAAAACCTTCTAGACTTAAAAATTTTTTTGTTTCAAAAGTGACAGACAACCAAAAGTGTTAATGGATTCTTTTGAAGGTTAAAACTAAGTTTGATATTCAAAATATGTAATCTATATGCTCACCTAAGAGTTTTACTAAGATTGATTCCTATTAAAGCACAAGTCCAGTCCAAGAGGAAAAGAACCTAAAAAGACAAGTTTGGAAGACTTGAATTGATACCTCGGAGAATTAAGTGTTGATCCATGAAAGTTTG